TACTGGTTCAGGTGGAGCAAGCCTACCTATTGCTGCTGGGTGGAAGGTGGGGAGTAGGACTGTCTGCTAAGTCTCCTGATCTGTCTGAGTTGCTAAGTCTGCTGGCCTGTCTTTGAGTTTTAGTCCTTGGACCATAGACAACAGACTTTTCTTGGGCTTTTACCCTCCTTCCTTCCCTTCATTTCTGCTTTATTTCTATTACTATTCCTGGCAGTGTTTCCACATTACAGGCCTCTTCAGAGTCCAGCCTGGGATATACAAAAGTTAAAAAGAAAACCCAGGAGCTGACTGCCATATCATTCCTCTAGTTCTGAGGTCCTTGGTCAGTCTGCCATTCATTTCTGCCTTTCAGTCTTTTTATGATTGCCTGTTGAATTGTTTCTAGGGAGGAGAAGGGAAAAGTGAGTTTGTGTCATTTTGTCTGGAACCAGAAGACAAGTAGAGTTTGGAATATATGAATGTGTGAATATGTATTAATATTATGTGTTACTCAGTTGGAGGCAGTGGCTCAAGCCTGTAACCCCAGCACTTTGGGAGGCTGAGGTGAGGGGATTGCCTGAGCCCATGGGTTCGAGAGCAGCCTGGGCAATTTGATGAGACCTCATCGCCACAATAAATAAAAAAATTAACTGGGCATGGTAGCACACACCTTGTAGTTCCAGCTACTTGGAAGACTGATGCGGAAGGATCACCTGAGCCCAGCAGGTTGGCACTGGGGTGGCTGTGAGCTTGCCACTGCACTCCAATCTGGGTGATGGAGTAAGACTCCAACTCAAAAAAAAAAAAAAAAAAAAAAAGGTTTGTTACTCTCTTTGGGTTATTGTTAGAAATCATCAAATGGGGAAGTCAGGGTGTGAGAAGCAAGGTAAAGATCTCTCTCAGGCAATACTGAATAACCTCAGGGATCTCAAGCCACAGAAGGCGAGGACATCTATGCCATGAAACCTTCCTAACTTTTTTTTTTTTTTTGAGTTGAGTCTACTCTGTCACCCAGACTGGAGTGCAGTGACATGATCATGGCTCATCGCAAAAAATCTGAAGTTCAAAATGCTTCAAAATCTGAAAATTCTTGACTGTTGACATGATGCTCAAAGGGAATACTCATTAGAACATTTTGGATTTCAAATTTTCAGATTAGGAATGCTCAATCTGTATTATATTATTATTATCATGTTATGTTTATACTATTTTATGTTTATTCCTGACTTATGATGATGGGTACTGCTAGTTTCTTATTTGATATGTAAGCAAACTGAAACCTAGAGAAATTAAATGACTTGCCCAAGACCCCTCAGCTAATAAAATAGTAGCATGCCAGTCATGAACCCAGGCACTCTTTCTTCAGAGCTGCATTCTTACTCCCCACCTTTTTTTTTTCCTATTTCAACATCACTTTTATAATATTTCAGGTCATTGTATATGTGTGAGTCTGTTTCTAGGCTCTTTATTCTGTTCCCTTTGTCTTTTTGTTTTTCATTTCAGCAATACCATATTGTCTTAACTATTATGAATTTCAACAGGGCTTTTAAGTTATTTTTTAAGTTGACAAATAAAAATTGTTTATACTTATGGTGCATAACATGATGTTTTGATGTATGTATACATTGTGCAATAATGAAATCAAGCTAATCAACATATTTGTCACCTCACGTAGATATTTTTTATGATGAGAATTGGCAAAATTAGAGCTCTATTCTTAGTCACCACATTATACCACTTTTATCTCCCCTAAAACCAACTCATATTCTCCTTGAACATTGATGATAATGTCCTCCTTTCTCCTCTATAAAATCTGAATGCTTCTGACTGATTACCAAGACCTTCTAAATTCTGTTTATTCAACCTTAATTTTCTTTCTTGTACATTTTGGTCATACCATGCAAGCCATATTTGTTGTTGTTTTTATTTCTTTACCTTTAGAGTTATGTTCATTCCTCCTCTGATGTTTTGCTTATATATTTTTCCTTCTCTGGAATGCCATTTCCTTTCTTCACAATATCTCTACATTCTACTTAAGATTTAAGAGCTAGCTCAAGCCCCACTTTCTCTAAAAGGATTTGGATTACTTAATTTCATATTGTTCTCTACCTTTTTTGCATTTTAAATACCTCTATAACCTTCCATAAACCTAACACACCAACAATTTATCCAAATTCTTTCTCAGAGAGGGCACCAAATTATATTTCTATTCTATGCCTAACACAAATCTTGGCACATAATACAGGCATGAAAGAATCTTGATGATTGCTTCCTAACTTAAGAGTTTATTCATCGGTGGTATAGTTAATATTGGTTGTCCTCAACTTGCTTACAGCAACAGGTAAAGGCATCATGGGAAATGCCTTGTGCAAGAAAGGATCTTAACTTCTTTGGAGGTAGTATCTATACCCAGGGGTTCAGCTATATTCTATGGCTGATGGCTTCCAAATGTAGTACTCTATATAGATGAATCTCATGCTCTCAATGTTTGTATCTAACTACTTATAGAATGTCTTCATTTGGATGCTCATACCTATCTTAAAATTGGTACTTTAAAAATGGAACAATCATCATCTCTTCAAATCTACTCTTACATCTATATTTCCTCTCAGTGAATGAGTGTCTACTTATAACCAAGCCAGAAACTTGTATTATTCTTTTGCCCTCACCCCTGTCCAGTCCCCCAATCCCATAGATAATGATTATCAAACTCTGATTTTCTCTTTTTTTTGGATTACTGCATGAGAAATGGGAAACTGGTCCTCTTTTCTGCCTTCTTATCCATTTTCTGTATTAAGCGAGAATAGTGTATTTGTGAGGCAGACATGATAATGTCATATATTAGGTTGAAACTCTGGCTTTCCATTGTTACCCTCACAATAAATTTCAAACTCCTTAGTATGTCATGGAAAGTCCCTGCTTACCTCATTCGCCTTACACTTGTCTCTTTAACACTATTGAACCACTGTCATTCCTTTATCATGCTGGACCCTCTTGTCTTCTTGATCCCACAGATGCTATTTTCTCTGCTTGGAACACTCTTTCTCCATTTTTTATGCCCATCTTTGCCTAACTTCTTTTCTTTATCCTTCTGTTCTTAGCTTAGATGTCTTTCAGGAAATCTTTTCTGGTTTTTACCATTCACCATGACTCTTTAGGAAAGAGTCATGTACTTATATATATTCCCATAGTATCCTGTAAACAGCTTCCCTAACAACTGTTCTCTCACATAGTAATTGGTTCTTTACTTGCTTCTGTCTCCCACAAGAATTTAAGCTCTGGACTGTGCTAATATTTTATTTGCATCTGGCCATGAAAGGTGCTCAATAAATATCTGTTGAATGACTTACTGAATTTTTGAATATTAAATGAATTAGCATGTCTGGGTAGATTGCATGGGGAGGTAAAATAAGGGGATAAAAGGCTTTGTATTTCAGTACGGATCAGTTCTCAAGAAAGTGGGTTGAATCAAAATGGAAATCAGATTTGATTGAATTACTATATCTCAGGTGTTACGAAGACCTGTACATTAGTGTCTTGTCAGTGTTTTGTCACTATTTTATCGATTTCTGATTAACATGAGACCATCTCTATGACTTACCTATGTGCCTTTCTTTATATTGTTTGGTGGGCATTGGGGTTTGTGTTTTCTGCCTCTAAACTTAGTTGATTTAATTATCCATTCCTGCTTAATTTTGATTAAAGCCCCCATCTTTGGTTTAGCCTTACTACCTTAAGTTGTTATTTGTTGAATATCATCTCCCTTGAAAATGCAGGGTACTCAGGGCAAGGAGAGAACCTGAGTGTGGCTCAGAGCAAGGGAGAACTTTGGTTTGTTGCAAGACTGGGAGGTTCTCTTAAAGATGAGGGACCTGGGAGCAAGGTCTGAAATTATATCTTCCTCCTGCTCAGAGGGAACTTCTGTGAGTGAGAGTGTACTTCCTTTTTGCCAAGTACTTTACATACATGTTCTCATTTAATCTTCTCCACAACCCTGTGGAGGTGTTATATTGAAGAAACTAACTTTCCCAGAGTTATATTGTTAGGAAATAGTGTGTTTTGGATTTGATGTCTGAGTGCAGAATTAATGAACTTTCCACTACACGAGCAGTTCATTAACTTTGTGAAACCCTTGCCCACTTAGGAGTGCCGAAGAATCTACAATCCACTTACCTTAACATTTCCACTTTCACCTTGAAAAATAATTTAGTGATAGCAACAACACAATTATAGAGAAATAAAGTATACAGACTGTAGTATGAGCTTGTGTGTGATTTTGATGTTACAAAGCAGTGTCATTTTAAAACTCAGTAATTTTGTTACATTTAACATGATATTGTGTTGCATGTTATTTAAATGGCATACATTTACCAGCAGGACACATTAATGAAGTATCACTATGCAGGCACTTTGGAGGGGGTTATATTTACATCTACTTTGCCAATAAAGTTATCAAAAATTCCTATTTGAACTGGAATATACATGTTATAGTTTAGTTATGAGAGAATATGAGTTTAAAATAAGCTAGTATTGAGGCAAGCATCTATCAGTTTGCTGGAGGATTAACCATATAAAACTGTTGATACTTATTTAGTTATCAATAATTAAGAACTTGTAAAAATGATAAAGTTACAGTAATTCATAATTAGGAAACAAGAATAATAGTAATGAAGACAAAGACTAACTTAAAAATATCACTGGTGTCCTTTTTAAAATTATAAGAGGTGAGTGGGTTGCCTGAACCTGTGAGCTTGAGACCAACCTGGGCAACTTGGTGAGACCTCGTCTCTATAATAGATCAAAAATTAGCCAGGTGTGGTAGCACGTGCCTGTAGTTTTGGCTACTTAGAAGGCTGAGGCGGAAGGATCACTGGAGCCCAGCAGGTCGATGCTGGGGTGGCTGTGAGTATGCCACTGCACTCCAGCCTGGGCGATGGAGTGAGACTCCAACTCAAAAAAAAAGAAAGAAATTTTAAAATTGAAAATAACGTATATAATATTACCAAATCTCTTTTTTTTAGGAGACACTGCTAAAGGAGACACAGGTGAAATTACTCAATCTAACGTGAAATCAGGCATCACTACCATACCTAGAGATTCAGATACTGGATCTCATTTATCCTTGTCCCTTGAAGACCTGTCTCAGTTGTCTGTAAGTTCTTCTCAACAGAATGCTACTGGTCAACACACTGATATTCTCAACCTCAAGACATTAGCAGACACTCATCCAACTGAAAAGGCTCTCAAAGTCACAGCTATTCCTGAATCAGCTGACCAGAAGACTGGGACACCAACAGTACTTTCCAGTTCCTACTCACACAGGGGGAAACCCAATATTTTCTACCAACAAGGCTTACCAATCAATCATCTAACTGGAGAGGCTCTGAAAGTCTTAACCACTCCTGGACAAGCAGACCAGAAGACTAGGATACCCACTATAACCTCTACTTTCTACTCACTTGGAGAGAGACCTGATCTTTTTTATGAACAAGCTGTGCCAGACAGTCATGTACCTGAAGAGACTCTGAAAGTTATACCTGTTCCTAGACCAGCTGACCAGAAGACTGGGACACCCACTCTAACCTCTACTTTCTACTCACTTGGAGAGAGTCCTGTTAGTTCTTACCAACAAGTTGTGCCAGGTAGTCATATACCTGAAGAGACTCTGAAAGTTACATCTGTTCCTGAACCAGCTGACCATAAGACTGGGACACCAACTGTAACCTCTGCTTCCTACTCGCAGAGAGAGAAGCCCAATATTTTTTACCAAGAAGAGGTACCAGAGAGTAATTTAACTGAAGAGCCTCTGAAAGTTTCAGCTACTCTTGGACCAGCTGGACAGAAGACTGGGATAACTACAGTATCCTCTAGTTCATACTCACATGGAGAGAATCCCCTTATTTTCTATCAACAGATCTTGCCAGAAAGGCATTTAACTGATCAGACTCTGAAGGTTTCAGATGTTTCTGGAACTTCTGACCAGAGGACTGGGATACCAATAATATCCTCTACTTCCTACTCACATAGAGAGAAGCCTGGTATTTTTTACCAACAAGAGTGGCCAGACAGTCAGACTGAAGAGGCGCTGAAAGTTTCAGCTGTTCCTGGACCGGCTGACCAGAAGACTGCATTACCAACGGTAACCTCTACTTCCTACTCACAGAGAGAGAAGCCTAGTATTTTATATCAACAAACCTTGCCAGATAGTCATCTAACGGAAGAGGTTCTGAAAGTTTCAGCTGTTCCTGGACCAGGTGACCAGAATACTGGGTCACCCTCAGAGTCATCTAGTTTCTACTCAAACAGAGAAAAGGCCATTATTTTCTACCAACAGGCCCTGCTAGACAGTCGTTTCCCTGAAGAAGCTCTGAAAGTTTCACCTATTTCTGGATCAGCTGACCAGAAGTCTGGAATACCAACAGTGTCCTCTAGTTTTTACTCACATGTAGAGCAATCTGATAATTTCTACCAACAGGAATTGCCAGACAGTCATTTACCTGAAGAGACTCTGAAAGTTTCAGTTGTTCCTGGATTGACTGGCCCGAAGTCTGGGATATCAACTGTAACCTCTACTTCCTTCTCACATAGAGACAAGCCCAGTATTTTTTATCAGCGGGAAGTACCAAATAGTCATCCAACTGAAAAGGCTCTGAAAGTTTCGCTTGTCCCTGGACCGACTGATCAGAAGACTGGGGTACCAACAGTACAGTCTAGTTCTTATTCACAGAGAGAGAAACCTAGTATTTTGTACCAGCAGGTGTTACCAGACAGTAATCACCCTAAAGAGGGTCTGAAAGTTTCAGCTGTTTCTGGACCCACTGACCAGACTACTGGCACACCAACAGTACCCTCTAGTTCATACTCACATAGAGAGAAGCCTGATATTTTCTACCAACAGACCCTGTCAGATAGTCATCTATTTGAAGAAGCTCTGAAAGTTTTACTTGCTCCTGGACCAGCTGACCAGAAGACTGGCACACCGGCAGCAACTTCTGGTTTATACTGGCATGGAAAGAAGCCTGACATTTTTTACCAACAGGTCTTGCCAGATAGTCATCTAAGTGGAGAGGCTTTGAAAGTGTCAGCTGTTCCTGAAACAGTTGTCCAGAAGACTGGTACACTAACTGTTCCCTCTACTTCCTACTCACCTACAGAGAAGCCTGATAGTTTCTATCAACAGGCCCTGCTAGACCATCAGCTAACTGAAGAAGCACTGAAAGTTTCAGCTGTTCCTGGACCGGCTGATCAGAAGACTGGCATACCAGCAATACCCTCTAGTTTGTACTCACTTACAAAGAAGCCTGGTATTTTCTACCAAAAGGTTTTTCCAGATAGTCATCTAACTGGTGAACCTCTGAAAGTATCAGCTGTTCCTGAAACAGTTGAACAGAAGACTGGCACACCAACTGTAACCTCTGCTTCCTACTCACAGAGAGAGAAGCCTGATGTTTTCTCCCATCAGGCCCAGCCAGTCAGCCAGCAAACTAAAGAAACTCTGAAAGCTTCAGCTGTTCCTGAAACAGTTGACCAGAAGACTGGCACACCAACTGTGACTTCTGCTTTCTACTCACATACAGAGAAGCCTGGTGTTTTCTACCAACAGGTCTTGCCATATAGTCATTCAACTGAAAAGGCTCTGAAAGTGTCAGCTGTTCCTGGAACAGCTGACCAGAAGACTGAAATACTAACTGTAACCTCTACTTCCTACTCACCTGCAGAGAAGCCTGGTGTTTTCTACCAGCAGGGCATACCAGACAGTCAGTTAACTAAAGAAGCTGTGAAAGTTTCAGCTCCTTCTGCACCAGCTGACCAGAAGCATGGCACACCACCAACTATAACCTCTATTTCCTACTCACATAGAGAGAAGCCCAATATTTTATACCAACAGGCCTCTCCAGGTAGTCTTCTACCTGAACAGACTCTGAAAGTTTCAGTTGCCCTTGGACCTGCTGAACAAAAGACTGGCACAGTAACGACACCTTTAAGTTCCTATACACTTGGAGAGAAGCCCATTATTTTCTACCAACAGGCCCTGGCAGATAGTCATCCATCTGTAGAAGCTCTGAAAGTTTCAGCTGTTCCTGGAATAGTTGACCAGAAAACTGGCACACCAACCGTATCCTCTAGCTTATACACACATAGAGAGAAGCCCATTATTTTTGATCAACAAGCCCTGCCAGAGAGTCACCTAACTGAAGAAGGTCTGAAAATCCCAGTTGACCAGAAGACTGGGATACCTACTGTGACCTCTTCTTTCTATTCACATAGAGAGAAACCTGCTATTTCTTACCAACAGGAGTTGTCAGATGGTCATCTAACTGAAAAGGCTCTTAAAGTTTTAAATACTCCTGGACCAGCTGACCAGAAGACTGGCATACCACTTGTCCCCTCTACTTCCTACTCAAGTAGAGAGAAACTCAGTGATTCTTACCAGCAGGACTTGCCTGAATTTAATGAAGAAGGTTTAAAACTTTTAGGCATTGCTGGAGCGGTTGACCAGACGAATGTTATACAAACAGTGCCCTCTACTTCCTACTCACAAAGAGAGAAGCCTGTTATTTCTTACCAGCAAGAGTTGCCACATTTTTATGAAGAAGCTTTGAAAGTTTTAAGAGTTCCAGAACCAGCTGACCAGAAGACTGGGATACAAATAGTGCCCTATAATTCCTACTCAGAGAGAGAGCAGTCCATCATTTCTTATCAGCAGGAGTTGCCAGATCCTACTGAAGTAGCTTTGAAAGCGGTAGGGATTCCTGGACCTGATGACCAGACGACTGGGATACAAATAGTGTCCTCTAGTTCCTATTTGCAGAGAGAGAAGCCCAGTATTTTTCATCAACAGGAGTTGCCAGATACTACTGAAGAAGCTTTAGATGTTTTTGTTCTTCCTGGACAAGGTGACCAGAAGTCAGCAACAATACCTTTAAGTTACTACTCACATAGTGAGAAGCCCAGTGTTTTTTCTCAACCGGAGTTGCCAGAAAGCCATCTCACTGAAGAGACTCCGAAAGTTTCAACTGTTTCTATACCAGCACTTCAGGAGAGTGGGATACCAATAGGTCCTTCTAGTTTGTACTCACGTAAAGAGAAATTCAAGGTTTCAACTGTGAGTATACCAGACGACCAGAAAACTGAGATTACAACAGCTATCCCTAGCTCTTACTCACATGGAGAGAAGCCCAAGATTTTAACTGTGATTGGACCAGATGACCAGAAGACTCCATTACTGACAGTTTTTCAAAGTGACTATTCTCAAAGAGTAAAGCCTGGTATTTTATTTCAAGAGCAATTGCCAGAGAGAGATCAAACTGAAGATATTCTAACAATTTCAGCTGTTCCCAAACCAGTTGATGAGAATACTGGGAAACCAGTACCTCTCTCTAATTCTTATTTTCACAGAGAGAAATCTAATATCTTCTCTCCACAGGAATTGCCAGGCAGACATCTAACTGAAGATTTGCTGAAGGTTTCAGCAATTCCTGTACCAGCTAGCCAGAAAACAGTATTACCAGCAGCTCCTCCAAGTTCCTTTTCACACAGAGAGAAACCGAATATTTTCTATCAGAAGGATTTGCCAGATAGACATCTAACTGGAGATACTCTGAAGGTCACAAGTGGTCTCGTGCAAACTTATCAAATTACTGGGTTGCAAACAGTTCCCACTGGTACTGACTCACATGGTGAGAAGCACAAACTTGTTTCAGAACACGTCCAAAGGCTAATAGATAATTTGGATTCTTCTGACTCCAGCATTAGCTCAAATAATATGCCTTTAAATTCCCAGGCTGATAACAGAGTTGTAAAAAATAAACTGGAATCTTCAGGTTTTAGAGATGTTGGCTCTGAAGAAATTCAGGATACAGCAAATAGTTCTAAAACTCTTAAAGAAATTCGGACACTTTTAATGGAGGCAGAAAATATAGCACTGAAACGATGCAATTTTCCTGTTCCTCTTGTCCCTTTCAGAGATGTTAATGATGTTTCATGTATACAGTCTAAGAAAGTGGTTTGCTTCAAAGAACCCTCCATAACTGATATATCTGATGGTGATTTGCTTCAGAGACAGCCATTCACAGAGGAAAGCCCGAGCACCAAGTGTGTACAGAAGGATATTGGCACACAGACGAATTTGAAATGCCAGAGAGGCATTGAAAATTGGGAGTTTATTAGTTCAACTACAGTTAAAAACCCTCTTCGGGAAGCAGAAAGCAAAGCCAGTATGGTATTAGAAGAAACCCTGAGGCAGTACCAAACAACCAAATCTGTAATGAGGTCTGAACCTGAAGGGTGTTGTGGAACCATTGGGAATAAAATAATTATCCCTATGATGACTATTATAAAAAGTGATTCAAGTAGTGATGCGAGTGATGGAAATGGTTCCTGCTCATGGGACAGTAATTTACCAGAGTCTTTGGAATCTGTTTCTGATGTTCTTCTAAACTTCCTTCCACATGTTTCACCCAAGACAAGCATAACAGATAGCAGAGAGGAAGAGGGTCTGTCAGAGAGTGAGGATGGTGGTGGTAGTAGTGTAGATTCACTGGCTGCACATGTGAAAAACCTTCTGCAGTGTGAATCCTCACTGAATCATGCTAAGCAAATACTCAGAGATGCAGAGGAAGAGGAAAGTCGAGTACGAGCACGAGGTAAGAACTGATAATTTGTCAAAAGGTTCAGACTTATAAACATTATAGTTTAATACTTTGTTTAAAGTTAGATATTTCCAAATGTATTTTCTAGTAGAGCTTTTAGAATGATTATATTTTTTACTAACAACCTAGGAAAAATCCACTTAACCAATAATGTAACTAGGTTATAATATTAATAGTGCTAGTCTGACATTGGGGTCTTAGGAGTAGATTCTGATGTCTGACAGAGAGTAAGTAGATAATATGGACTTCCTGGCTCCTAAAGCTATTAATGTTTCCCTAATCCTACCATTATAGTGTCCTCATTTTGGGGGCAGAAAAAGCATTCAATTTGCTCTGCTCTAGATTATTCTGTGTTCTGCATATATTTTCTCTTTCCCCTTTCCGAATAAAATTCTTGGAACTGGTCTCAGACATTTGAAAGATAAAAACTTATCAAAGTATTCACACTAAAACTAGGGTTAAAGGATTAAAAGATAATATTTACTAATTCTATTAATCTCTAATAGAATTCCATTAAAAAAGAAAAAAAATATGGGGAATATGTTTTTGAGGGCATCCTAAAGGCAATTCAGTCCTACTTGGAAATCTTCCCTTGAGGTTAACTTCCTACACTGTTCTTTCACATTCTGATTCTACAGAAATTCTCCAAGTTGCATATATTGTTTTTAATTATCACCTCTCATGGAAGTGTCAGTAACTTACAGGCGCTAAAGACACTCCTGATTAGGAGAATTGAGATAAAAGTGATGGAATACCTTATTTGAAGTGACCCTTTTCAGTTGTTTTTTGAGTCAGAGCCTCACTTTGTTACCCAGGCTGGAGTGCAGTGGCACAATCTCACTCACCGCAGCCTTAGCCTGTTGGGTTCAGGTGATTCTTCTACCTCAGCCTTCCAAGTAGCTGGACTACAGGTGTACACCACCATGCCCAGCTAATTTTTCTGTTGTTGTAGAGATGAGGTCTTGCCATGTTGCCCATACTGATCTCGATCTCCTGAGTTCAGGCAGTCCTCTTTGCCTCAGCCTCCGACAGTGCTGAGATCATAGGCATGAGCCACTGTGCCCGTCCTGAAGTAACCTTTTTGTTAAAATATATGTAGAATATAATTTAAAAATCAGACTTTGTGAAATGATCTCTTGCAAGAGTTTTTAATAGATTGTCATATAACTGAAAGCACACACTAAGCATTGTAGTAGGCATTAAGTTGCATATACTGATGATCTTATAATTGATCTTGTAATTGTTGACAGATTATCACTTTTGCATTGTATTAGCTCATGTGTTTCTATGCTTTCTCTCCAGCCTGGAATCTGAAGTTAAATTTAGCACATGATTATGGATACTCCATTTCAGAATTAAATGAAGATGACAGGAGGAAAGTAGAAGAGATCAAGGCAGAGTTGTTTGGTCATGGGAGAACAACTGACTTTTGCAAGGTATAAAAGTATTGAAGAGAATAAATGTGAAATAATGGGTGATGGAATTTGGATCTATTACTTGGACATTGATGACTTCAGCTGAGTCGCTGATAATTTTTGACAAAATTTTCTTTAAAAGTTAAGATGTAAGGATTAGGTTCTGTAAGTTTTGATTAATTCCAAATTCATCTACTGAGAAAAAGTTTATCTTCTTAGAAAAATAAGAATTGATTTGTTTGTTTTATTAATATGTTGTTAGAACAGAGAGATTAAACATTACTCTTATTTTCTCTTGAGAGTGATATCTTGATATGTGGATGAAGTCTGGCTATTTTCAGCTCTGCTAAGAATACAGAGCTGGCCAGGTGTGATGGCTGATGCTTGTAATCACAGCACTTTGGGAAGCTGAGGAGGGAGGATAGCTTGAGGCCAAGAGTTGAAGAACCAGCCTAGGAAATATAGTGAGATCTCGATTCTACCAAAAAAAAAAAAAAAAAGAATACAGAGTTAAAGTAGTTTATATATAAGTGACTTTCTTTTCAATATTATTTATTTTCCTTCTGTTATTAATTATTTCATGTGTATATGAATCATTTATTCACTTATATAAAGATTAATGGTGAGTAAAAAGAATTCTCAGGTATTGGTAATCCAACTTGAAAAATAGAACATGATTGAATATCTCTGATGTTCTTTGTGTCCCCTTTCCCAGTCATATCTTATTTATTTTTTATTTTTTGCCTGCAGACAGTGTGGTGACTTATCTTTTTTCCTTTTTATCTTGACGTGTAATGATTTCCCTGCTCTTCAGTATGGTTTTGAACCTCTGTATAGAGGGAATCAGTATGATACTATTCTTTTGAGAACTTGGTTTTTTTATTTTTATTTATTTTTATTTTTTGAGTTGGAGTCTCACTCCGTCACCCAGACTGGAGTGCAGTGGCCGCTCCCGGCCACTGCAGCCTCAACCTGCTGGGCTCCAGCGATCCTTCTGCCTCAGCCTTCGGAGTAGCTGGAACTACAGGCGTGTGCTACCACACCCGGCTAATTTTTTATTTATTGTAGAGATGAGGTCTCACCAAGTTGCCCAGGCGGGTCTCGAACCCGTGAACTCAGGCAATCCACTCACCTCAGCCTCCCAAGGTGTGGGATTACAGGCTGAGCCACCGAGCCCGGCTGGTTTTTTTGTAATAATCTTAGGTTTTTGAGTTGCTTCTGTATAGATATGCTTAGTTTTGGTTTATTCCTGTGTAGTATTTCAGTGTATAATTATATCAAAATTTATCCACTCTTCTCTGGATAAGGCATTTGGTGTGCTATTATGAAGAGTAATAGAATATAATAATACCTATCTCAAAGGGTTTTGGTATGGATTATGTGAGATAATGCCTATAAAATGCTTAGTAGAATGTGTGATAGCTAGTTAGTGCTCAATATCTGACAGCTATTATTACTATTATTAATCCTATAAGAATTGATACAACTATCATGTGGATTTTATGACCTGATTCATACAATTTCTTAGAAAATTATTCTCTGGTGATACAGCTTAATTATTTGGTTTATTTTAACTTTGGAAAAGTTTTGTAAAAGCATAAATTAGATTGGATTTTAGATTTTGCATATATGTTTGTGAAAAACTAAATTAACAAATAATAAAATGGATAATTTGTTGTCATAGCACCATTTGTATATGTGTTGTCGAAGCAAGCACTGTCCTAGCATCCTTTGCCTAAAAGTACATCTTTTTCCCAGTGATGTGCATTTTTCATGTGTTGATTGATATCCAGACACCTTAGCAATCAAGTTGACTTACATTGGGTAGACACTTGTTTGTCTGTTTTTCTTAAAATTAAGGTGTCCTGAATTAGATGAAACACAGAATTTCACTTGTGATTTAACCAGTATGAAGTGTACATGCTAATTCTCTTTCTGCCAGTGTATATGAAATTTCTGATGGCCATAGCATGCTTGTGTATTTCTTAAAAAAACAAACTGCTGCTGAGATTTTTTTTCCCCCATTTCTTTTGTGTATATAATACTTTTAAACTCTATTTTAATACTTTTAAACTACTCTAGTTTAATACTTCTAAACTATATTTCCTATGGGTTTTATATCAGTGTTCAAGCCTATTGGAATGATTTTAATCTAAATTTGACCATTTATTATATATCCCTTCTAGCTTTGTGCTATTCGTACATTTAGTAACTATTTTAATCTAAATTAGTGATGAAAAGTTTTACTAAGACTGGGTTATGGAGGAAAACATCTAAAATATTTGAATAAGATTATTCTAGCACCTGTGGTGAGTACTTCATTCATCCCACAGCTGCCATCTTATATTTGACTCTCTTAACTGCGTGATCATGAAATAAAGTTTATGCAGTATGCCTTGCTCTTAGAGATCGTATATTGGCCATACTGTATGTATAGTTTTAGATACTTATTTTTTAACTTAAATATGTTACCATTTCCCTTAAAACTTCTCTAAAAGTATAATTTTACATAGATATAATATTCAATTGTATGAATATAACCATTTAATTATTATCCTGTCTGGGCTCGGTGGCTCAGTCTTTAATACCAGCACTTTGGAGGCCAAGGTGAGTGGATTGCCTGAGCCTGTGGGTTCGAGACCCACCTGGGCAACGTGGTGAGTGGATTGTCTGAGCCTGTGGGTTCGAGACCCACCTGGGCACCTTGTCTCAACAATAAATAAAAAATTAGCTGGGCATGGTAGCATGCACCTGTAGTTCCGGCTACTTGGAAGGCTGAGGCAGAAGGATTGTGGGAGCCCAGGAGGTCGAGGCTGCAGTCGCCAGGAGTATGCCACTGCACTCCAGTCTGGGTGACAGAGTGAGACTCCAACTCAAAAAAATAAAAAATTATTACCCTACTGTTGGACATGTATTCATTCATTCCACAAATGCATATTAATTGTCTAATATATGCTGTCACTTGTCTATATGCTGAGGACATATCACTGAACAAAACACAAAAATTTCTTCGTCATGGAGTTTATACTCAAATGAAAGGATAAAAACAGGAACCAAATAAATAAGTGAAATATATGTCATATGATGGGATAAATGCCAGGGAGACAAAAAAAGTAAAATGGTCAAGGGATGGCCTGAGAAGCAGGTATTGAATCAAATATCTGAATAAGGTAAGAGAGTAAGGAATTTGGATATCAGTGACAAGTACATTCCAGACAGAAATAGCATGTGCAATGTTGCTGAGGTCAGCGTATGCCTGACTTTTAAGGAGATGGGAGATGCCAATGTGGTTGAAGAGTGAGAGTGAAAGGGAGAAGACCAGATTGTGGAAGGTGGTAGTTCTTGTCCGGGGCAGTACATGCCTCCCCAAGGGGTATTTTAGAAATTTATATGAGATTTTGTTGTTGTTGTTGTTATCACAGTTATTGGTGATTATTTCTGGCATGCAGTATGTGATGTCAGGTATGTTATAAGTCTTGCACTGCACAAGACAGTTCTATACAGTGGAGAATTGTCCCTTGTCATGTACAACTTCTGAGTGTCCCTCTAGGTACTAATGTTAATGAAAAACCTGTTATAAATTATTTGTTTCATTAGCTGTCATGTTTTTAAATATTTTTTTCCAAGAACAGTTTGTGTATTTTTTTCTTTCATGACTAATATTTTTTGAAGAGTATGGCAAAATTACTTTGCATATTTCCCTTAAATTGAGTTTGTCTGATGTTGTATTGTGCTTAGATTCAGGTTGGATTGTGTGTGTGTGTGTGTGTGTGTGTGTGTGTGTGTGTGTGTAAAAGCCACAGAAGTGGTGTGCTTTTTGTGGTATATGATATCGGGAAAAACATTATGTTGTTTCAATACTGGTAATGTTACCTGGTATCACTTAAGATGGTATCTGCTGGTTTTCTCCACTTTAAAGATAATTTAGAAATATTTTTAATGTACTAATTAATAAATAATTAACAAATATCGGGAAAGGATACCTTGAGACTCTGTAAATATCTCTAGTTTAACATGTATTGTTAATACTTGCCTGAAACATTTATTAATAAGTTAGCTGTAATTTGGTGATTTTAAAAAATCTATGTTTAATATTTATTGGAATTTTCTTCCACTTATTTATTAATATCAGTGTGGACTCTTGGATTTTTCAGTAATGTAGGGTTAGTCCAGTCTTTTTTTCTTTCTATGTTTGTAACCCACTTCCCTAATAATAAGAAACCTGGCTCTCATTATCCTCTGTATATTTACTTACTTGCGTAAACCCCCTGTATATTTCTTCCTCAGCCCCACTGCTCATGGTACATACAGCAGACTGAATTTCTTTCCCAGTCCCAACTCTATTTCTTTTTTTTTTTTTAATTTTTTAAAAAATTTTTAAAAATTTAAAAAATTTTATTTTTATTTTTTATTTTTTTAATTATCAGATTGGAGCAATCAGGGTGTTGCAAAACCTGATTACACAAAGACGCTGCCAACTCTATTTCAACCCGCAAGTTTTATATGTAATATAATTATTATCTTACCATTCCAAATATTTAAAAATTACCATTATAATTTCTTCTAACAATGAAAGACGTATATTAGGATGATATCTTCAATGGGCTGAAAGAAAATAAATTTTGTCTCCCTAGAATTTATGTCCAGTGAAAATTTGTTTCAAGAATAGGGCAAAGTAAAAATGATTTCAGACACAAGCAGTTTTTAACCATTCAAAACTCATTAAAATAAATTTTAAGTGATGTACTTCAAACTGAAGGGAAATGATTTTCATATGGGAAATTTGTGATGCAGGAAAGATTAAAGAGCAAAGATGTGTTAGTTAAATATATGGATAAATATAACTAAACAACTAAGCATATAAAGCAAAAATAAGATCTTCAGGGCTGAGACAAAATGTGACATAAAATTAAAATGTATGACAATATTTTCTAGGTTGGAAGCTGTTCCTTAACTTATTAGGAACATGTTAGATATTGTTTACTTTATATTGATAGCTATATGTGTTATAATTGCTAGGA